CCATTAGCCCCAAAGTATCTTCATGCTCCTTAAAATCCCAGGCAACTTCTGGATCCCCAGGCAACCACTGGTCTGCTAGATGTCTGCATTTTCTAGAATTTTTATAAATGGAATTATACAGTATGTACTTAACTTTTTTTTTCTTTAAAGAAATGCTGGCCCTAGCCAGTTTGGCTCAGTGGATAGAGTGTCGGCCTGCGGACTGAAGTCCCGGGTTCGATTCCGGACAAGGGCACATGCCCAGGTTGCAGGCTTGATCCCCAGTGTGGGGCATGCAGGAGGCAGCTGATCAGTGATTCACTCTCATCATTGATGTTTCTATCTCTCTCCCTTCCTCTTCCTCTCTGAAATCAATAAAAGTATTTTTAAAAAAGAAAGAAAGAAATGCTGGTCATAGCACACCAAATTGACTTTGCCACTTAAGATCATAGACCTGAAGTTTAAAAACTCCCACTTGGAAAGCTGTGTTACCGCCAGCCCACCTCTCTCAGTTGCCTCCCTCGGAAGATCCTCATACCCAGTCTCACCTCTGGGTTCTTGGCTCCAGGATGGCGAGGTAGGCACAGGCATTCCATTAGAGAATGGCCACAATAGGAGGCAGACGGCTTCAAGGGAGAGAAGAGAGTGAGGGCTGGGTGCAGGGGACCCTGGGTGAGGGGCTGGGTGCAGAGGGGGCTGGGTGAGGGGCCCTGGGCGCAGTACCTGAGTAGGTGAGGAACCAGGTCCTCCAAGCAGAGCAGGCTCTTGGTCCCATTGGCTCTCCTGGCTGTTTGGGGACATTTGCCACATTATTATTATATTTTTAATATATATTTTTTAAAATTGATTTCAGAGAGGAAGGGAGAGGGAGAGATAGAAATATCAATGATGAGAGAAAATCATTGATCAGCTGCCTCCTGCATGCCCCCTACTGGGGATCGAGCCCGAAACCCGGGTGTGTGCCCTTGACCACAATTGAACCTGGGACCCTACAGTCTGCAGGCTGGCGCTTTATCCCCTGAGCCAAACCAGCTAGGGCTGCCGCCTTATTTCTAAGTAAGGCACGTATACTCCTAGTTCTTAAAGACACACACCCCCCTTTTTTTATTACCTGTTGACTTCCTAATATGGAAGATAAAAATTTCATGCTTTTACTCTCCTCCCATATAAAAACAACAACCCCCCCTCTCAGTAATTAAACAATCCTGTTACCAGTTATGCCATATTGAGCACCCTTTCACCATCCTGGGCTGCATGAGTAATGGGTATGTAATTAGTACGTAGTATGTATGTTGATTTCTAACAAAGATACCACAGCTCAGTGAGGAAAGGATGGTCATTTCTATAAATGATGCAGTTGCATATGCATATGGAACGGGCCCCACTCCCTTGCTACCTGGGGACATTGGCAATGTCTGAAGACATTTTGGTTGTCAAAACTTGGGAGGTGCTACTGGCAGGGAGCAAAATTGTGCCTAACTGAGAACCCTAGCATAAACAAATGCAAAAAGTCATGGAGCTTCATGAAAATTATATTTTGTTAAAAAGATAAAAAAGAATGAATTTAGTGAGTTCACTGGCTAGAAAATCATTTACATAATGATTTGTATTTCTACATATCATTAACTCCATTGTATTTCTATATATCAGCCCCAACCAAATTGAAAATGGAATGTGAAATGCTATAAATAATCATGTCAAAAATATCAGGACCCAGGACTAAATATAATCAAAGAAGTACACGACATGCAGAGAAAATTAGAGAATGAATGCAGAGAGATGCTGCGTTTGTGGCTTGAAAGACATTATTGGGAAGATGGCAGTGTCCTGAAAATACTCTGTAGACTCAATGGATTCCAACCCAAATCTAGGACAATGGCTTTCAACCTTTCAACGGTGTTCTGATTACTCATTCACACACACACACACTCCCAAGAACAAAAGTTTTATGAAACAATACTTACCCTGACGACTTCAGATTGGCTTCCATATTTTCTGTTGTATCTCCATCATGTTTTTAATGGAACTAAATTGATCTGTGCAACTAAATTGATTTCATTACCCGCTTACAAGACAAAATCTGCAGTTTTAAGCTCCTGTGGAAGCACTGAGTGTCCTGGGGAACCGATCCCCCATCACACAGGTCTCCCTAAGGCCGACTCGTCACTGGTGGGCGAGCTTCTTTTTCAGGAAGTCCATTTTCAATCACAGTCACAATGTCGGAATCTCCAGAGCTCTCAGTCTCTCCAGCCTCCACCTGGCTCAGGGAGCCTCCAGGAAACAGCCAGGCAGCCTGCCTGGCAAAGCCAGCGCAGGGCCCCCATTCCAAGTAGCCACCATCAGCCCCTAACCCCCCACCCCTGCTCTACCCCTCCCCTCCGCCCAACCCCACCCTTAGACTAGGCACCCCACAGCAAGCAGAAGTAGTAGTTTTATAGATAAACAGGTGACGTCACCACAAAAGGAAGATGAGAGAGCCGCCACTTCTTATGGCAAGCCACAAACTGTTACCAAGTGGAAAATGACGAACAGCCAGCAAAAAAACCCCAAACCCGTTTGAGAAATACCATGTGAGTGGAAACCAAGACATTCTAGAAAATCATTGTCCAGCCGAGAGCAAACTGACATAGGTATGTGCCCTGACTGGGAATTGAACCTTCCCCTCCTGGTTCATAGGTTGATGCTCAACCACTATGTGCTCTTTTTTTTTTTGTTAAACAGTGAGAGCCAAATAACTTCCTGGAATAGAAAGGTAAGAGCTGAATGAGCGTCCACTAATGGAAAACCAGTTTGTCTCCATCCCATCTCCATTTGATGTCAATCAAAACCCACCATTGGCCTTTAATTTTTAAAAATGCAAATTCTGCGCACATACATCAGTTACCTGATGTATAATAAAAGAATGGGGAAGGGGAAGTGAAAGAAGAGAGAAAGCTGCTGTGGTAGCCTGCGTGTGGCGGAGGCACATTGCGGTGCGGAGTAGCAGGTTCCCGTCTCAGTGAGTAGACACTCCCTCTGCTGCTGGACTGTTCCAGACACGTGTTTAGCTGTGCAGCTGTGTCTGTTGCATTGATTGGCTGCCCATCAAATCGAAATCTGATCCACCTCATTGGCAAACCTGCTAGTCACAATAGGCTTCCATTCGTTTACTAAGGGGTGTATTGCCTCTTAGTCTTAAAGCGCATCGCAAACCATCCTGCCCCCCGCCCCTCAGATTAATATGATCGTTATTCTCACTCTGGGCTCCTTCCGGGGCTTTCCCTTGGCCTTGGTGAACACCCGAGTCTCCTCAGCCGCCGCTTCACAAAAGAGGTGCCAGGTCCACTGAGCACCCGCCGACCACAAGCTGCCCCCCGAGTGGCAGAAGGTGGCAGCCACCGTGGCAGAGCGCTACCCTGCCCCTTAAAACAATCGACAGATTACTCTCTAGTGCATTTCCAAGTTGACACTAAACTCTCTGAAAGTTCAAGTAGTTGCAAAGGATATAACTTGTGAACATTGACATATTCCAGCAGAGTGGCGCGTCCTTCCTTTGACACATCTAATGCCATCCACCAGCGCTGGTGATTTGGTGCCAGCCAGTGCCCCGTTTCAAAAAGAACAAACTCTTCTTTTACTGTCAGGAATTTTACATTCTTCCTCTTTGTCCTGGACCTTAACTTGGAGCTCCCTCTGGACAGAATTCTGCCTCATGAATTAGGTATCATCAACCAAAATATATACAGAAACTAAATTTTTAATTTTATTTAGTTTCCTGTGACTATAAGGTTCCAAATGTTAAAATATTTTCTTCTGGATTGAATTACTTTTAAAATTTTTGCTAGTGCACAAATAATATAAAACATTTCATGTTTCATGTATTTTCATGAGTATTAAACATTGAAAGTAAAATATGTTGGCCCTGGCCGGTGTGTCCAATGGTTGGAGCTCTGGCTGAGCACCAAAGGGTCCTGGGTTCCCTTCCAGTCAAACTGCCCCCCCATTCTGTTTCCTCCCCCTTGGGGAGTGCGGGAGGCAGCCAGTCTATTTCTCTCTCTTCCCCTCCTTCCCTCCCTTCCATTCTCTCTGAAAAGCAGTGGAAGAAATATCCTCAGGTGAGGATTAACAACAAAAAAAGTAAAATATGTTGGAAATGAATCTCCAAATAAGCTAGACAGGGCACCCGCATTAATTCCACGTGCTCTTGGATGAAGATGCATTATTACAGGAGTGAGTCAGGGTTCGCATCAATCCTGCCTTGGCTTTTAAGGTTCAGAAGGGCTGGAAGTTTTCCTCACAGAAGCGGCCAGGCAAGGCAGTTTCTGTGCCAGCAGCACCAGTCAACTCTTAAGCCCCTTCCAAGGTGTGTTTCTAATCTACACCCGCCATGGAGGGCGGGCAACTGTTAGCTCCCGCTTCGGGCTGTGGGGCTATTTGGGAGCCACCAGCCCTGTTACCCGCTTTTCACAGGTTCAAGGCTTAACCTCATCTCACATTTCAGCTGCCCTTTCCTTGGATCCAGTAGGTCACCCTCTGCCTCAGCCCTGACACTGCATTCTGGGAAGATTCGAAAAGAAAGGGGGGTCGCCCTTTCTCCCGGGAAGCGGATGGGGTGACAGTGCCAGGGGAGGAGGACGGGCTGGCCCGGATGGCTTGGGGAGGGGGGGGGGGGGGGCGAGCAGAGGGAGCTAAGCGCCTGCCAATGGAGCCTTCACAGCTTCCGGGGACTTGGTGCTCTGGGAGCTTCTTGTGACCCTTCAGGGGCACAGCCCCCAGTCTGAGGGCCTCCCATCCCAGGCAGGGTTTCTCTTTCCTGGCTGCTTGCCAGAATCTTCTGGGCGATTTAAAAAGATGCCCACAGGGTTACCCCAGGCCAGGTGACTCGGCCTTCTCTGGGCGAGGCCGGTTCGGGTTTGTTTAAAGCGCCCCCTGGCGATTCTGTTTGCTGTGTCTCCATCGCTCCCACCTGGACACTGAGGCGTGCTGGGCGGGGCTGGCAGGGGGCTCGCAGAGCACGGGCTGACCCCTCTCTTCCCCTGCAGTGTACCACTGGGTGGAGATGCGGACCAAGATGCGCATTATGGGCTTCCGGGGCACAGCCATCAAGCCGCTGAACGAGGAGGCGGCCGCCGAGCTGGGCGCCGAACTCCTGGGCGAGGCCACCATCTTCATCGTGGGCGGCGCCTGCATGGTGCTGGAGTACTCGCGCCACCAGGCGCAGCAGCGCCGCAAGGAGGAGGAGCAGCGCGCCGCCTGGATCGAGATGCAGGACGAGGTGGGCCGCCTGGCGCTGGCGCTCGAGGCGCTGCAGGCGCAGGTGCAGGCGCAGGAGGCGCCGAGAGCCCTGGAGGAGCTGCGGGCGCAGATGGAAGAGGTGCGCGCTGAACTCTACACCCGGGACGCGGAGGCGCGGTCCAAGTCCACGCCCAAGGCAGCGTCCACGCCCGAGAAATAGGAAGCTGCTGAAGCCTGAACTCGGATGTGGCCATGTGCGCCCTAATGTGCTGGCCCAGCGGAAGCCACTGAGATTTTGATGAACTTGGCTGTTGGTCACCCCCTGCTGACCAGTGGTAGTACCCTGCACTGGGACTGTGAAGCGTTCCAACATAGCCCCTACCTTACCTCATTGGTACAGCCCTCAGTGCCCCCCCATCCCAAACCTCACGGGCCTTCTAGGTCCCAGCCCCAGGACGACATGCTCACTCTTCTGGCAGAAGGAAAACATGGAACCTGGACCTCAGCTGAATCAGCCTGTCAAGCTCCCCATTTGCCTGATCAGTGCTACCTTCCCTGGGACACTCGGCCATTACACTGAACACCCCCTTCTTTTGATCAGTTGGTACAGACCGTTGTAAGGAATGCAGTGTCTTTCCCTGGACTTCTGTCCCCCTTATCTTAAGAGGGGGGAAAGGATCCTGGCTTGCAATTGATCCACTGAATATCTTTCCTTAACCTGATCTGTGAGACCTTCTCCTGAGTCCTCAAGTGGAATATTCCAACAGAGCCCCCTCCTCCTTCAGTCTGTGGCACCACCCACTGGAATGGCTGGTCTTCTCAGGCAGTGCCCTCCCAACCCCCTTGATGTGGTGGGCTTTGATTTTGCCCAGGGCTAATCAACTTGCCTTTCAGCCTCAGCTTCCTGTTACCTGTCGTCAGAGTCCCTGGGGCTTTCCTGGCTGTCCTTTCCTACCTTCCCCAGGGGCCTCTCTCAGGCAACCCCGGCCATGGATTAGATGATCACATCCCCCATGTTTCCTTTAAATCTGATCTGTGGGCTCCTGCTCCCCTCCCCTGGGGCTCCGGACTGGTCCAGCAGTCCCTCTTCATGCACTGGTACCTCCTGCCTCCTTAGCCCCAAGTGCCACCTCCATCTCCCTGGTGTGGGCCCCTAGTTGGTTTTACCTTCTTTAGTCGTTTCCTAGGGCTGCCTAACAAATTACCACAAACTTGGTGGCTTAGGACAACCAGAATTTATTCTCCCCCAGTCCTAGAGGCCGCAGATCCAGTCAGCTGTCAGCACTGCCTCCGAAGGCTCTAGTGGGGGATCCTTGTCTCTTCCAGCTTCTGGTGTCTCCAGGCTCCTTGGCTTGCAGCTGCATTCTCTCCAGTCTCCACCTCCATCCTCACGTGGCCTTCTCTTCTGTCTCTTATAAAGACACCTGGCCATTGGACTTAGGGCACCCTAACTCTAGGAAAGACCGTTTTCCCAAATAAGCTCACATTCACAAGTTCCATCACCTCGCTCCACCTCCCCACCCCAAGAGCATGCTGGGACTCCTGCCAACCCCATGGGGCATTTGACCTTCCCCACATGAGAGAGGAACAGTCCAAGGAGAGCTCCTATTTTTCAGACTGTAGGTGTTTCCTAATTAAAGGACTGTTTGAGAACCATTATATGGATCTCCAAAATGGGTACAAAGCTCATTAAAATTAGGAGAGAAGCTCAGAGATCTGATGGGGGTGAGTCTAGAGCAGGGGTGGGCAAACTTTTTGACTCGAGGGCCACAATGGGTTCTTAAACTGGACCGGAGGGCCGGAACAAAAGCATGGATGGAGTGTTTGTGTGAACTAATATAAATTCAAAGTAAACATCATTACATAAAAGGGTACGGTCTTTTTTTTTTTTTTTTTTTTTAGTTTTATTCATTTCAAACAGGCGGATCCGGCCCGAGGGCCGTAGTTTGCCCACGGCTGGTCTAGAGTCATCCTATGAACTGTCCCAGATGGGGAAACTGAGGCTCTGGAAGCCAAGAGACTTGCCCAGGGCTATGAAGCCCATGAGGGATGGGAGCCAGTGGCACTGGGAGGGAAACGGGAGCCCAGGTTACCCTGGGTGCAGGGTGCTTGAGGGAACAGGTGGGGGGCAAGAAGGGAGATGAGGGGGAGGCAGATCACTGGGGGAGGGGTGGGAATCTCCACAGAGGTCCCAGAGCAGTGCTAAGAGTGGGTGGCCCTCCATCCCCAATCACAGCCACCCAAGATCTTGGCATTCAGTGAATGGGCGTAGTCATAGACCAGGAAATGGGTGGGGCAGGTTTTCTTCCACTTCCCCCAGGTGGTTAAAAACACCTGGCCACAAGACCTGGTAGAAACCCAGTAAACTGGGTTAGTGAAACATCAATTCTTTATAGAAGAAAGGGAGAGGCTGGTGTAGAGGGCGCGGAGATGGGTCATGGGTGGGGTGTTCTACAGTAGGAGGGACCCGAGTGGGTTAAATGATGAGGGGAAGAGGCAAGAGATACCAGTGCATGGAAGGGTGGTGGACCGAGGAGCCAGGTGGGCAGGCTCAGTGCCTGGTTCCCATGGTTACCCCTGAGAGGATTCACTCTGGCCCTGTCACATCTCTGGAGGACGGGTTGCTGGACGCCAGGGATCTTGACTGCAAACCCCTCTCCATCATGTTAATAAACAGCAGTCAGGTGGAATCCATTCAGCTCTGGGTGGGTGTCAGGCACTGTTCTAAGTGCTTTACGTAATCCCAGCGACATTTTCTTCATTCGTGAAGAAGCTGAGGCACAGAGAGGGAAAGTCACCTGCCCGAGGTCACACAGGCAGGAAAGAGGAGGAGGTGGGAGCCTAAGCCCCTGGCCCTGAGGTAGCGCTGTGCTCATGTGTGAGATTGAAAACAGCCCCTGCCCTGGCCAATTTGGCTCAGTGGCTAGAGCGTCAGCCTTGGACTGAAAGGTCCCGGGTTCGATTGCAGTCAAGGGCACACGCCTGGGTTGTGGGCTTGATCCCCAATAGGGGGTGTGCAAGAGGCAGCCAATCACGATTCTCATCATTGATGTTTCTATCTCTCCCTGTCCCTTCCTCTCTGAAATCAATAAAATATGTTTAAGAAAAAGAAAACAGCCCCTGTGTGTGTTGACGTGGCCAGACCTGTGGGATGCAACAGCTTCACCCACCGGGTGGGGGTGGGATCAGGGTGTGTGCAGGTGGGAAGAGCGCCCTCTCAAAATACACGAGGCCGGAGGATGGATGGTTCATCGCTCCAACTTACTACAGAAATTTTGTATGCATTTGCGACTTGGGGAGAGAGGGGTTAGAATAAATTTGTAATTCAAGTTGGTTGTGTTCAAATTGCTGCTTTTTTTCTGTATTTGAAAAATCCCTGTTAATCTTAGCAAAACTGTCCTTCGTTTATTCTTTCATTTAAGACACTGTCACCCAGGTGCTCATTATGCGCCCTGCCTGTTCTGTGCCATGTGGGTCCCAGCGGTGACTGGGACAGCCTCACCCTCCCTCACAGGACTCACAGTCCAGTGGGGAGACAGACGCACATACAGACTCCTCCCCCCCAACCCCCCCAAGTGTTACCTGCCCTGTCTCTGGTTACTTGGGAATCAGGCTGAATCCAGATTCCTCCCTCCAGACGTACTCGGCGCTTTAGGGAGGAAAGAACAGAAACCCATGCACACTGGCTCACAAAAGCCTCAAAACGTGCCTGGGCCTCTGTCTCTCCCAGCTCCCGGCAGGCCCTGTCCATCCCATGTTGTTTTTCTTGTCCAGCGGAGAGGGCCACCCCAGGAGCAAATGGACTTCAGGAGGCCCCTGCTATCCCTGTATGAGCCACTGTGATGCTGAGTGGCTAGGCTGGGTCCCTCAGCCCCAAGGACAGAGAGGAGAAATCTACCCTCACATTAAACAAATGTTTACTGAGCACCTACCATGCCCCGTTCCAGCCGCTGAGAATTAATGGAGAACAAGACAAAGTCCCCGCTGTTGACACGTGGAATGGCAGGCTCGGCCTCTCATTGCATGGTTCTCACGAAGCTTGAAGAATAAATTCGCGGACTAAAAGATTTTAAGCAAAAATGTGGAAGTTCATGACGAGCACATACAAACTCCCCCTGGGGAGACTCCCCAAATGGAGAAAACCTGCTCCCTCTAAAATGGGGAGAACCTAGTCCTTTTCATCTCTTTGTCTACCAGTTTATAAATGCTGGGAGCTTCTTGGTCCGTTCATTCCACTTTCTAATTGGACCCTTCCTTATTTTATGTCCCCCGAGCTTTCCTAATTGGTCACGTTCCCCCTTTCCCTGCGTGGGCTCAGTTTCAAAGTTTCAAAGCTCAGCGGGCGCCCCCCTCTCCTTCTTCCTTATCTTGTAACATTCTTGTAAACAATCGGGCCTTGGGGCTGTCTCTGCCCATCACGTATGCATTCCTCTCCTATGGACCCCCTTCCCCTAACCTGCCTCTCCCGATTCTCAAATCCTTTCACCATTATGGGCTGACATCTGGTGCGGGGAAAGGGACAGTAAAGAAGTCAAGAACTAACCCAGTGTCAGAGTTCAGGAGTAATGGGGATGGCCAATTCAGATGAGGGGGTCTTGGAGGAAGCCACATTTGAGATGAGCCCAAAGGCAGCTGCCTGGGAGTCAGAAAGGGCTATTAGTATGGACGGAGGCTCTGAGGCAGGTATGGGATTGGCCTGTTCCTGGAACAGCAGGAGGTTGTTACCAGGATAGAGCAGGGGTTAGTGGACCAAGGCCCTGAGGCCAAATCCAGTGTCCACAGCCACGCTCATTCGTTTATATATTTTTCAATGGCAGAGTTGAGTATTTGCTCTAGATATCATATGGCCTGAAAGACAAAAATATTTACTATCTAGCCCTTTACATAAAGAGTTTACCGACCCCTGGAAAAGAGGAAGTAAGGGGAGAGGGGGGTGAGTGAGGGGGTCAGAGCACAAAAGCCAGCCCCCTTGGCACAACTGGAGGTCATGCCAGCTCTAGGTGCCCCATCAGATAGACTGTTGGGACTGCATTCACCTCAGCTCTCCCTGCCCAGTCCTGCCTCCTCCAGCCCCACCCACAGCTGCTGTCCCCGGAGGCTCCAAGGTACACCCACTGCACACAGGCCTCAGTCTCCATCTCCATTTCCAGGAACCAGTTATATAATCCACACATACACACAGTTTTTTAAAAAATATATTGTATTGATTTTTTTTTAACAGGAAGGGCAAGAGAGAGAGAGTTAGAAACATCGATGAGAGAGAAACATCGATCAGCTGCCTCCTGCACACCCCCCACTGGGGATGTGTCTGCAACCAAGGTACATGCCCTTGACCGGAATCGAACCTGGGACCCTTCAGTCTGCAGGCCGACCCTCCATCCACTGAGCCAAACCGGCCAGGGCCATATGTGCAATGTTTATATAATCCACAGTTTTCCCTCAATATGTATTTCCAACACTGCATAATTAGTGCATTATGTGACATATAATAAAGAGGTAATATGCAAATTGACCATCATGCCCTCACACAAGATGGCTGCCTCCATGTGGGCACAAGATGGCCGGCAGAGGGAGGGCAGCTGTGGGTGACCAGGCCTGCCGGGGAGGTCAGTTAGGGGCAACCAGGCCTACAGGGAAGGGCAGTTGGGGGTGACCAGGCCAGCAGGGGAGGGCAGTTGGGGGTGACCAAGCCAGCAGGGGAGGGAAATTGGGGGCAACCAGTCCTACAGGAGAGAATAGTTAGGGGCAACCAGGCTGTCAGGGGAGAGCAGTTGGGGGTGACCAGGCTGGCAGGGGAGGGCAGTTGGAGGTGACCAGGTCAGCAGGGGAGGGCAGTTGGGGGGGACCAGGCCAGGAGGGGAGCAGTTAGTTTTCGATCAAGCTGGCACGGAAGTGGTTAGGGGGTGATCAGGCAGGCAGTCAGGCAAGTGGTTGGGAGCCAGCAGCCTGGATTCTGAGAGGGATGTCCAGCTGCCAGTTTAGGCTTTATCCCACAGGGGGCCTAAACCAGCAGTCGGATATTCCCCGAGGGGTCCCAGATTGGAGAGGGTGCAGGTTTGGACTGAGAGACACCACCCCCCCACCCCAGTGCATGAATTTCATGCACCGGGCCTCTAGTAGTATATAATGGACTATAAAAATATATTTTATGTAGTATGTAACATCACATTGTACATTATATGTTGTATGTGTTTATATATATCATTAGAAGTTTCACTAAATCCCTTAATATGTGCAGTCTATTTCCTATTTTATTACATTTCGTTTCATAAAGAAAAACTACAGATAGACCTAGCCGGTTTGGATCAGTGAATAGAGCGTCGGCCTGTGGACTGAAGGGTTCCGGGTTCAATTCTGGTAAAGTACATATGCCCGGGTTGTGGGCTCGATGCCCAGTAGGAGGCGTGCAGGAGGCAGCCGATCAATGATTCCCTCTCATCATTGATGTTTCTATCTCTCTCTCCCTCTCCCTTCCTCTCTGAAATCAATAAAAATATATTAAAAACCAATACAGTGAAGTGTGTAAACTGCACTTTATGTGGCTCAGTGACTCCTTACAAAGGACTAAAACACGTGTAACTAGCACCCAGGTGGAGACGGAGGGCATTCCAGGGCCCAGAAGCTGCCGCCTGCTTTTTCCCAGACGGCACCCTTCCCACGTAAACCACTATTCTGAAATCTATCTGTAGATAACATTTGCCTGGTCCTGGACTTAGTATCAACAGACTCGTATGGAATGTGTTTTTGTTTTGTTTTGTTTGAATACTCACCCAAGGATATGTTTTGTTTCCAGGGATCAAGCCTGCAATCAAGGTATGTGCCCTTGTCTGGAAT